GATTCACAGACACTAGAGGAGATATAAAAAAGACCTGGAAAACACTCAGATTCTAGGGACCCACAAACTGAAAAAAACCAAGAACATTGTCCTAACTAAACCTAATGAAACACCACTACATCCCACTGACACAGCTAAGAAGATAAACGACTTCTTCTCAACCATAGGATCTAATCTCGCCAATAAAATCCCACATACCAATGCCCATGCCGGGGACTACCTAGATATGAATTTCCCAAATTCCTTCTATCTTGCACCAACTGAGCCCACGGACAGATCTAACGATAATCTAGAATTTGTTTTGTTTTACCTTATCTACACAAGGCCGATTCCCACCTAAGTGCGGTGTCCGAAAAATAAAATCACAATCATCCTTTCCCTCACTGTCTTGCCAGAAGGGTGCTTTACACTACAAGTTTATAAACTGCACCTAACACCCCTACCTTCAAGTCAGGCACTGATACTCCCAATCTCCAGGACTCCAAGTCCGTCCTGCCGTTTTCCCTGAATCCCTTCATAAATGTTACTTTGCATCACAAATCCAACAGCACGTCAAGTATTAAAAACCATTTGTTCCATTCAGAAATCAAACACGCTTCACGCATAAAATGCTGAGTCAAGCCCTCGCACACAAACCATCCTGAAAATAACCCCTCCCTCCAACCCTTCCTAGGCCGACCCCTACCCGCCTTCCTTCCACTACAGACTGATACACTCTTGAAGTCATTCTGTTTCGCTCCATTCTCTCTACATGTCCGAACCACCTCAACAACCCTTCCTCAGCCCTCTGGACAACAGTTTTGGTAATCCCGCACCTCCTCCTAACTTCCAAACTACGAATTCTCTGCATTATATTCACACCACAACATTGCCCTCAGACATGACATCTCCACAGCCTCCAGCCTTCTCCTCGCTGCAACATTCATCACCCACGCTTCACACCCATATAAGAGCGTTGGTAAAACTATACTCTCATACATTCCCCTCTTTGCCTCCAAGGACAAAGTTCTTTGTCTCCACAGACTCCTAAGTGCACCACTCACTCTTTTTCCCTCATCAATCTATGATTCACCTCATCTTTCATAGACCCATCCGCTGACACGTCCACTCCCAAATATCTGAATACGTTCACCTCCTCCATACTCTCTCCCTCCAATCTGATATTCAATCTTTCATCACCTAATCTTTTTGTTATCCTCATAACCTTACTCTTTCCTGTATTCACCTTTAATTTTCTTCTTTTGCACACCCTACCAAATTCATCCACCAATCTCTGCAACTTCTCTTCAGAATCTCCCAAGAGCACAGTGTCATCGGCAAAGAGCAGCTGTGACAACTCCCACTTTGTGTGTGATTCTTTATCTTTTAACTCCACGCCTCTTGCCAAGAAAAATAACTCAGGGAATTGGTCTCATGTCCCACCATTACTGTACAAGCGAGCGGCCCATGTCCTTTCGCATGCTATTTCATTACTTTTTAACAAGTCACTAGAAACTAGCACCTTCCCGAAACTGCTCAAGATGGCAAGGGTTACACCAATACATAAAGGTGGTGACCCTACAGACTTAAACAACTATAGGCCAATATCAAACTTACCATTGCTATCCAAAATCTTTGAGAAACTCGTGCACAGGAGACTATATTCATTTATAACGGCACAAAACATACTCAACCCCTGCCAATTTGGATTCAGGAAAAATAAAAGCACTAATGATGCAATCATAAAAATGCTAGATCTGCTTTACACAGCATTGGAAAATAAGGAATATTCACTAGGAATTATTATTGACCTAAGAAAAGCTTTTGACACAGTAGACCACGACATCCTACTCCATAAACTTGACCATTACGGTATAAGAGGCCATGCGCTTGCTTATTTCAAATCTTAACTTACTAATAGGTATCAGTATGTCACCATTAAAGACACAGCATCAACAACACGGCCACTTGATACTGGAGTTCCGCAGGGAAGTGTCCTTGGTCCCCTGCTCTTCCTCATATACATCAATGATCTTCCAAACGTATCCCAACACCTGAAACCCCTTCTCTTTGCTGACGACACGACTTGTGTCATCTCTCACCCTAATCTTGCCACCCTCAACACCATTGTTAACGAGGAGCTGATCAAAATATCGACTTGGATGACAGCCGATAAACTTACGCTTAACACTGACAAAACCTACTATATTATGTTTGGTAGCAGAGCAGGAGATGCACAAATTAACATTAAGATCGACAACACTCTAATTACAAGACATAATGAGGGCAAATTCCTAGGCCTATACCTTGACAACAACCTGAATTTCAGCACCCATATCCTACACATAACCGAAAAAGTATCCAAAACGGTTGGGATCCTCTCCCAAGATACGATACTACGTGCCGCAAAATGCCCTTCTCACACTATACCACTCACTTATTTATCCATACCTCACCTATGCTATTTGTGCTTGGGGATCAACGCAGCAACACACCTAAAGCCAATAATAATCCAACAAAAAGCTGCAGTAAGAACAATCACTAAATCCCATCCCTGGCAACACACCCCCCCACTCTTCATAGATCTAAACTTACTCCCTGTTCAGTACATCCACACTTACTACTGTGCAATCTACATCTACAGGACCTTAAACTCCAATATCAACCTTGACCTAAAACGCTTTCTTGATAGTTGTGACAGAACCACAGCATAACACCAGACACAAACATCTCTACGACATTCCCCGTGTCCGACTAAACCTTTCCAAAAATTCAATGTATGTCAAAGGCCTTAAAATCTGGAACACCCTACATGAGAACTCTAGAACTGCAGACACATTCATCACCTTCAAAACTACCATTAGAAAACATCTTATCTCTCTGATACACCCCATCAACTAACTACATGAATACCACCTGGTGGTTCACACTTACACTCACCCATTTGACCATAAACAGAAATATTAATCTCAATCTTAAAATAATGAATCCTGTGATACTCCAATACTGAAACTATGTACTGTGCCAAAACAAAAGCATTCACATTGCTAAACTCACAAACTAGTATTTAGTCACTTAGCCATAATACCAACTTACCTCATAATTTGTAATATTTTAAAATTAAGAATTAAACTAAGTCTGCCCGAAATGCCTAGCCATGCTAGGTGTTCTAGTGGTACACTCTGTAATCATTATTTAACTACATGTAAACCACACAATAACCAAATTCTGTAAACTCAGCATTGTAATCCTTATAGAGAATAAACTTTGAATTTGAATTGAATTTGAATTAAACAAAGGTGTTATATTATTATGGTCTTGTGTTTGAGTGAGGTTTTACCAGGAATATTTCTTGTTTTATGATGCAATTTTAGTTATTTATATTAACCCTTTGACTGTTGCAACCCCAAATCCTAAGATGTCTCCTGGTGTCGCAAAATTTTTGAAAAAAAAATTATTTTTTCTTATGAAATGATAGAAAATCATTACCCGATGGTAGTGACGCCAAAAGTATGAAATTTGATGGAAATCTTATGGAATTATGCTCTCGTGACCTCGGCGATATTTACAAATCGGCAATTTCGCCCATTTTGAACCCTATTTTCGGCTAATTCCATTATTCCAGTCGACCAAACTCAGAGCTATTTCTTTAGAACTCCATTTGTTCTATTGACTGAGTACAAGAAATTGCCCATTTACCGATTTCAATTACCCAATAAAGCGGTGAGAACTTGGCAATTTGGCCAGTTTCACACAAATTAAAAAATATGCCAATTTCAAAATAGGGTCCAGAATGAACAATGCAGACATTCCTGGCTCTAAAATAACATTTTCTTTGTTCATCAGTCATGCCTCCAGGCCCCTCTGATATTACTTTTGCTTTCTATTTTGAATTTTTATTCAGACAAAAAATAGAAGATTTACTGTTATGCAGACTACTTCAATATTGTAATACATAATTGTATAAATAATGTCAACCATTCATGACTGCATATTAGAATGGCTAGTTGGACATTTATTGGACAATAACATCATTTGTTTACTCTTGAACATTGGCAAAAATCAAACATTTCCCCTACTTTGAGCTCCATTTCAAGGTCCTTTTCATAGTAAAACCAATCAAAATCACCTCTGTTTCTATAATGTGTTGTCTATTCTATCAAATGTGACTATGAAAACGAGAATATAACCATAAAAACTATACGAAAATGTACCTCATAGTCGGTGTTTTAATCCAAAAACACGGTCGGATTTTTTTTCTCATTATGCACTGCTGCTGCAGGATTTTTTTATATGATGCACACTGACCACACAGACCCATTCTCTCACATGTGGGCCTACCAGCTTTCTCCCGCTTGATTTGAAGCCGCTAGAATTTTTGAGTATATACTGTATACGTCAAACACATTGGCTCGTAAGACATATATGAATGACCAAAACAGTCAAAGGGTTAAAGAATGTGTCCAGGAGCAACTTTTGTAATATTCTTAATTATTCAGTATTGTCTAGAATATTCTGAATTTTCTGGAGAGAATTTTCTAAATTAAAGCTTTTGTGACTTTATGTGTATAGCTACAGTCCTATGCAAATTACATGATACCGTAGCTATTCTACAATGCTGTATTGTAAAATATGCTGTTGTACTATACATAGTGTATATACGTTATACAGTATATTTTTGTTCATACTGTATTGGGTTTACATAGGGCTGGTAGTCAGGTAGGAAGGAGAGCGACAGCCAGACAGGAAAGCATGCAGACAGATGGGGAAATATGGGGGAAATATGCATGCACATGGGCAAGCAGACAGGTGGATGGGCAAGCAGAATAGTGGATGGGCAAACAGGCAGGCAGACAGGTAGACAGGCAGATAGACAGGTTGGTGGGTGAGGTGTTGGTCCTGGACTCATAAGCTTGAGTGAATAGAAAATTATGCAGGCAGACTTGTTTGCAAAGCTTAAGCTTCTTTTCATTTATCATGATAACATATAATGACATGTTTGACAATTTTTATCTTCAAAGAACCTACTGGAGGTAAAGCAGCTGAACCACCAAAAAAGAAACCAAGAGAATCTTCACCAGATAACACGGGCAAGAAAACTATAAGGTAAAATACACTGGCTGTTATTCTCGTAAAATGTACTTGTACAGTACAGCCACTTCTCACTTAGCGATGTACTTGTTTACCCATGACTTGGACTTATGACTGGCTCTCTGACCAGTATGCATACCTAAATAATGTATATTTGAGCTGATTTCCTCTATCTGTTTATTACAGTATGCAGTACACTACTGTATAAACATTTAAAAATATACTAAAAATGTTATAAATGGTACAGAGGTGACATTTAAACAGTATCAAAGATGGCTGACACAAACCCACAACCATTATAGTATGCTTCTTGCTTAGCGACAAATTTATTTACCGACATGGTCTTAGGAACGGAACTCCATCATTAAGTGAGGAGAGGCTGTACTGTGCTTTGTTGCTTAATGTTTCATTTATAAATTGTTTATGGCAATTCACATAACCTGTGAAATTGTACTGTATAGTACATTATTAATATACGTACTGTAACTTTAGGCAGGTTGGTAGAGAGCAGTCATCCAAGGAGGTGCTGTTACCCTTTTATATGAATGTGAAATGGAAGTCTTTGAAATATTGTACATTTAACTATGATATGTAGTATACCAAAGGATGTGAGTAATCACAAAAGTGCTTGGAATATCACTATTTTTTTACAGCGGTTGTTTTGCATATTGTGATATCACATGTTTACTGTAATCTTATTGCATACCAAAGGATGTTTATGACTTGGTATATACTGTATACCCCAAAAGGTGTGCCTCAGTATTCAGTACAGTAAACCCTCTATTTAGCAGACTAATTGAGGGAGTTGGTGGCCAGCAGTGGCACTTGTGGTGAGTAGAGAAAAGATTATTTTGCAGTGACTGTAACAATAATGAACAGTTTTGTGACCAAAGGACTTTGTCCACAAATTTTGTAATGTGAGCAGGTTATCATTGTATGAAGTATCAGCTAGGCACCAGTGTTCTGTGAACTTGATGTGAACATGATACCATTGCATGCCAGTGATTTTTGGATCAGGAACTTTGAGAGATAAAGATTTAATTTCTTTGCAAGGTGAATAATTACAGTTTTGATTTGTTAAGTACAAAGAAAGTCACTGTTATGCTGTGGCATTTTGGCAGAATAAAATGATTATAGAGTATAACTGCCAGCACAGTGTGATTAAATCATTGTGAATTCAGGGAATCTGTAAAAAAAAAAAAAAAAAAAAAAAAAAAAAGGGAAAAACAAAACACAAAGATAGGATCATGTGTTGCCAGGACTGAGATTAAAAAATGCCTGAGCCGTCATTTCTCATGTTACTTATCAAGATATGTTGTGGGATATTTGCCATTTTTATACTAGTTTACATTCTGAATGTGATGTTGATGGAAACTTATCATTGCAGCTTCAAGAAATCCTTCCCAGCCCGTCTCTCTGCCAGCGCACCTTTCAATCTATTTCTTAACAAGAGCTACAGCATAAAAGAGACTCATGAAGATTCATTATCTCTTGTTTTCCCAGATCTCTTAAGCTCTCACTTTGGCGAGATTGTTGAATCAGTTCAGGTATGTCCACTAATGCTTGTAAGTGTTTGTGGTTTGATTCTAACCATCCAAGAGGCAGTCAAATGATGAAAACTGAGACACATGTGCAACATCTCGGTATCTTTATTGTAGACATTTCACCATCCAGCGGCTTTATCAATACAGATTCTAGGACATAATTTGAGGACAGTAGAACTATATACAAAAGATGAGGTAATCAGTTGGTGAGAGCACCCTAGTCGTGAAGATTCTGGAGCAGAGGCAAGGAGACTGGCGCTTATATACTAATGCCAGGTGGATAGGGATGGGTAGCAGATGAGGGCATAGTCACTGGTAGGCAGGATTCCCCAGTGGAAGTAGGTCATACCCAATGGGATGGGTAAGTTGTAGTAGTAATTGTAGGAGCTGTGAAAGTCATGTAAATGTCCTTTGAACCAAGATTGCATGATGTTGCAATGTCTGACAAGTTGTACAAGAATGGTATACAATACCAACAAGATGAAAACTGAGATACGTGCAACATCTGGGTATCTTTATTGTAGATGTTTCACCATCCAGTGACTTTATCAATACAGATTCTAGGACATAATTTGAGGACAGTAGTACTATATACAGAAGATGAGGTAATCAGTCCCTCAGCCTTGGAGTTGGTGTGAAGAGCACCTTATTTGAAAAACTGGAGCAGAGGCAAAGAACGGGCGCTTATATACAATCCCGGGTTTGGGGAACGGGTAGCAGATGAGGGCATAGTCCGGGGTAGGGGGGATTTCCCAGGGGAAGTGGTCTCCCCAAAAGGGGATGGGTCATTTGTAGCCGTGAAGGTCACGAAATTTCCCTTTGAAAAAAAGATTCCAATCCACCTGGCATTAGTTATAAGCACCGTTCCCCTTTCCCTCTCCCCGAATCTTCACGACTACATGCTCTTCCACCAACCCAAAGCTAGGGACTGATTACCCATCTTTTGGTAAAAGTTCTAATGTTTCAAATTAGCCCAGATCTGATTGATAAACCCTCGGTGGCAAAAAGTCACAAAAAAGATACCAATATTGCAAGTGTCTCTTTTTCATCTTGTCGGTTTGTATTTTTTTGTAAAACTTGTCAACACGCAACATCGTGGAATCTTGGTTCAAGGACTTACATCCCTTTATGGCTACTAAAAACTACTACTACAATTACCCACCCTTTGGGTATGACCTATTTCCTTTGGGGAAACCCCCCTCCCATGACTATGCCCTCGTCTGTCCCTGTCCAACCACCGGGCATTATATATAGGCCCTTCCTTCCCTTGCTCCAGAATCTTCACGACTACATGCCTTCCCCCACTCCAAGGCTGGGGGACTTTTTACTCATTTTTGTATATATTCTACTGTTCTCAAATTATTTCTAGAATTTCTTTGATAAAGCCACTGGAAGTGAAACGTCTACAGTAAAGATCCCCCGATTTTGCACATGTGTCCATTTTTCCCTTTTTGGGTGGGTATTGTATATCATTCTTGAAAAGGGTAAAATGAGTTTTTTTGACAAACCCATCCTTTTTTTTAAATTCCCAGAGATAATAACCAAGGATAGAGGGGTAGCCCAAAAACTGCCCAGGGGGGCACTACCACTTCCCAAATGAGTGTAAAACAGAAGCTTGTGATTTTTTACATGATTTTTAGGATTGCGGGTCTTTTTTCTGTCTCAAAAACATGCAAGTTTCGGGTATGTCTGCTATTTCTACTTACACTTAGGCACATACACAAACATGTAAAAGCATAATATACAAAACCCCCCGGGGGTTTTCTCTTTTTCTTTCCAGTTCTGTTCTTTTTATTCCTCTTATCTCCAGGGGGAAGTGAACAGAATTCTTCCCCGAAACCCATGCTATGTAAGAGGCGACTAAATCCCGGGGGGCAAGGGGTAGTAACCCCTTTTCCCCCGTAAAAATTTTACTAAATTTGAAAAGAGAAACTTTAGTTTTTTTTTTGGGGGCCACCCTGCCTTGGGGGGAAAACGGCCGGTTTGTTGAAAAAAAAAAAACATAAGGGTTTCGGGGTATATCTTCCTACTTCGGGGCTTACACTTAGGTTAAAACCACATGCATGTACAAGCATATCAGGGGTCCCTCAATTATCGCCTTTTTAAACCTTTGGGAATGGGACTATTATCGAATAGACGATTTTCGAATCATTTTTTCCCCTAAGAAATAATGTAAATCAATTAAGTATTTAAAAAAGGTAAGGAGGTCTTTGGGCATTTATGGTTTTGGAAAAAGGCTTAGACAGGTGGATGGGGGGGGAAATTGCGATGTTTGCAAGTGTGGGAAAGGGTGGTTTCTGAAAGATAAGATTTTTACGGGGATATTAGCTCATTTAGATATGTAGGAAAGGGGGAAAATTTTTTTTCCCCAGTAAAAGTAGGCCTTAACAAGGATGTGTGATGTACCGTGGTTGTTTAATATATTTATAATGGGGTTGAAGAGAAGTAAATGCGAGGGTTTGGAAAGAGGCGTGGATTTAAAAAAGATAAAGAATCACCACAAAGGGGAGTTGACAGCGCTCTTTGCTGAGACACTGGCTTTGGAGATTTAAAAAGGAATTGCAGAATTGGTGGATGAATTTGGTAGGGTGTGAAAAAAGAAAAAATTTAAAGGTGAAACGGAAAGAAAAGGTTATGAGGATAACAAAAAGATTAGGGATGAAAATTGAATATCAGATTGGAGGGAAAGTATGGAGGAGGGAACGTATTAGATATTGGGAGGGGACGTGTCACGGATGGGTCTATGAAAGATGGGTGAATCAAAAATTTATGAGGGAAAAAGAGTGAGTGGTGACTTAGGAGTTGGAACAAAGAAATTTGTCCCTTTGGGGGCAAAGAGGGGAAAAATTATGAGGTATAGTTTTACCAACGCTCTTTATGGGTGTGAAGGGGGGTGAAAGTTGCCAGGGGGCTGGAGGCAGTGGAGAGTCATGCTGGGGCAATGTGTGGTGTGAAAAAAGCAGAGAATTCGTAGTTTGGAAGTTAGGAGGAGGTGCGGGTTACAAAACTGTTTCCCGAGGTGAGGAAGGGTTTTGAGGTGGTTCGGACATGTAGAGAGAAGGAGCGAAAAAGAATGACTTCAAGAGTTAATCATCTGTAGGGAAGGGAAAGGGGGGGTAGGGGTCGGGCCCAGGAAGGTTGGAGGGGGGGGGTAAAGGAGGTTTTGGTGCGAGGGGCTTGGGCTTCCAGCAGCAGCGTGAGCGTGTTTTTTAGGGGTGAATGGGAAAAAATGGTTTTTTAAAAACTTTACGTGCTGTTGGGGGTGGAGCAAAGTAAAATTTTGAAGGGATTCAGGGAAACCGGCAGGCCGGACTTGAGTCCTGGAGATGGAAGTACAGTGCCTGCACCAAGGAGGGTGTTAATGTTGAGTTTTAAAAATTAGTGTAAAGCACCCCTTTTGGAAGACAGTGATGGAGTGAAGATGGTGAAAATTTTTTTTTTCGGGCCACCCCGCCCTTGGGGGGAAACGGCCGGGGTGATAAAAAAAAAAAAAATAAAAAATTAATTCGTTTTCCCGCACCCCCCAAATATTAAAACAAAAAATTTTTCATGAAAAATTTGATGTGTAATAAACAATACAATGGGACAGATGAATGAAACATTAACAGCATAAACTTACCTTTATTGGGGAATTTTCTTTGTGTAGGAAAATGGAGGAGGAGAGAAAAATTGAAATTTCTGTTTGGAAGGGGGAAATCCACTTCCATTAAAACCTTCCTGTTTTTGGGGTTTTTTTTTTGTTTTTTTGGGGGGGTTGGGGGGGGGGGGTTGTGGGGGGTTGTTTTGGGGGCCTTTAAAAAACTTCCCTGGGGCTTGACTGTACTTTCGTTTCTTGAAATTTCCATAGGCCCATAAGTTTTTTATCCTTCCCCCAATTTTAAAAACTCCAAAGAAAAGGGCCCTTTTTTCTCTCTTTTCCCCCCATCCAAGATCTGGTCACTGTTTCCTTCCGGGGCCTTGGTTCCATTTCTCCCCTGTTTTCCCCCAAATTTTTCCATCCCCGTAAAACCCCAAATTCCCCAAAAATTCCAATCTGGAAGGGGGGCCCCCAAACCTTTCCTCCCTTCCAACTCCCTTTTTTCCCCGCAAGTTCAAAACTGGTATACTCCCTCCCAACCCTTCAAAAATTTCAAATGGTTAAATTTTCTTTCCAAAACTCTTTCAATTCAGGGCACATAAAACCCCAAAATTCTTTTGGGAAATTTTTTAAAATTAAATGACCTTTGGCCTTTAAGGGGTGGCCCAAAAAAACCCTTAAATCCCTCCTTGTTGCACCCTTGGGGCATGTTTTCTAAGGGAGAGTTTAGTTTTTTTGGAGGGAACTTCCCTCCCAAACCTTAAAACCATAAAAATTTTCCCTGGAAATTAAAAAAAAAAATTTTCTTTAAAAATTTTTTTTCCCCTGGGTTTTTAAAAATGGTACACTAGTAACGGCTTCACTTTGAAATCTCCACTAGCATTAGCACAGAACATGAGTGTCAGCCTGTCTTTCATAGGCTTGTGTCCTGGCAGTGCCTTTTCTTCCTGAGTAATGTAAGTCCTCTTAGGCATTTTCTTCCAAAAGAGGCTTGTTTCATCACAATTGAACACTTTCAGGTTTCAGTCCTTCAGCCTCTATGTACTCCTTGAATTCCTGCACATATTTTTCAGCCGCTTTTTGGTGCGAACTGGCAGCCTCACCATGCCTTATCACACTGTGTATGCCAGTACGGTTCTTAAATCTCTCAAACCAGCCTTTGCTGGCCTTAAATTTACTCACATCACCACTAGTTGCAGGCAATTTCTTTACCAAATCATCATGCAACTGCCTAGCCTTTTCACAAATAATCGACGTCATAAGACTATCTCATGCTAATTGTTTCTCGTTTATCCACACCAATAATAACTTCTCAACATCTCCGAGTACTGGTGATCTCATTTTTGTGAGCATATTTACCCCCTTTGCAATAACAGCTTACTTAATTTCCTTTTTCTTGGCTATGATAGAAGATATGGTTGTATGGAATTTGTTATACATTCTGGCCAGTTCACCCACACGTATGCCACTTTCATATTGTTCAATGATGTTTTTCTTAAATTCAATCATATTTCTCGCCTTCTTTACCAAAGGCTTGGCACTAGGAGCTTTCTTTGGAGCCAAGGTAGCTTATTTAGCACATG